ACCCAAAGAGAACAAGTTTCAATGGAGCTTTCAGACTAAGAACAGACAATGAAGAAGGACTGTCTCCCCACTGCGACCTAGAATTAGAAAGCCAAACAGGAAGAACATGCTCAGCACATCTAAAACTGAAGGAACTGAAGGAAAAATGCAAGCCTTGAGTTGCAAGGTCAAAAGATTCTATAGGCAAAATATTGAATGATCCAAGAAACATCGAGAAAAGATGGGAAAAATACACAGAGTCAATACAGAGTCGCTGTAACAAAAAATAATTAGTTGACTGCCTACCACTTCAAGAGGAGCATGTGAACAAGAACCAATGGTGCCGAAGGAATAAGTTCAAACTGCACTGAGTGCATTAGCCAAAACCAAGACTCTAGGAATTGACCCATTGAGATGTTTCCGAAAGCTGAAGGAGCATGGAAGCACTCACTCATCTATGCCAGGGAATGTGGAAGACAGCTACTTGGCCAACTAACTGGAAGAGACCCATATTTGTGTCCATTCCAAAGAAAGGGACCCAACCGAATGATGTTGATATCACACTCAAACCAAGTCTTGCTAAGATCATCCAACAATGGGTGCAGCTGAATGTACATTGACAAGAAACTGCCCAAAGTTCAGGCCAGATTCAGAAGAGGACAAAGAGCAAGGATATCATTGCCGATGTCAGATGGCTATCAGAGAATATCAGAAAGATGTGTACTTGTGTTTCAGTGACTATGCAAAGGCATTCCATTGTGTGGACCATGATAAACTGTGGATAACCTTAAGAAGAATGGGAATTCCAGAACATTTCATTGTGCTCATTCAGAATTTGTAGAGGGATCAAGAGACCATTGTATGAACATAACAAAGGAATGCTACATGGTTTAACATCAGGAAAGATGTGTGTCAGGGTTATATCCTTTCACCATACTTGCTCAATGTGTATGCTGAGAAAAATCATCAAAGAAGCTGGATTCTATGAAGAAGGTGGCATGAGGACTGGAGGAAGGTTTATTCACAACCTGCAGTATGCAGATGACATAACAATGCTTGCTGAAAGTGAGGAGGAACTAAAGCCCTTGCTGATGATGATCAAGGATGGTAACCTCCTGTATGACTCAATGTAAAGAAGATCAAATCTCCACACCCTGACCACTAGGTCACATCGTGATAAATGGAGAAAAGGTTGAAATTGTCAAGGATTTTGTCTTGATTTCTACAGTCAATGCTCAAGGAAGCAGTAGTCAAGAGATCAAAAGACACATTGCATAAGTAAATCTGCTGCACAAGAGCTCTTTAGAGTTTTCAAGAGCAAGGATGTTACTTTGAGGACTAAGGTGCGCCTGACCCAAGCCACGGTATCCTCCTTGCATCGCATGCATGCGAAAGTAGGACACCGAATAAGGAAGATTGTAGCAGAATTGATGCATTTGAATTGTGCAGAAGAAGACTATTGAAAGTACCATGGACTGTTAAGAGGACAAATGGATCTTTATTGGAAGCAGTAAGGCCAGAGTGCTTGTTAGAGGCAAAAATGGCAAGACTTTATTCTATATGACACTTTGGGCATATTGCCATGAGAGACTAGTCCCTGGAGAAGGACATCATGTATGGTAAAGTGGAGGGGTCCCACAAAATAGAAAGGCCCTCCATAAGATGGATCGACATGGTGGCTGCCTCACTGGGCTCCGGCACAGGAACAATTGTGAGGAGTGTACAGACCGTGCAGTTTCGTTCTGTTGTGCATAGGGTCGCTATGGGTCGGAGCTGACTCGATGGTACCTAACAACAACAATATACATTATTATAAAATATTATGTAATACTTACACCTTCTGCATATTGCAAGTATCGTTTGTTAGTTTCATGTTTACCAAATGTCTCCAAAAACTTTTGACGATAAGCAAGAACAGTATCCACATGTGTTTTATATTTTACAGCCAATTCAAGTGCCCTGTAATGAGAAAGAAAAGAGATTATCAACACTGTTTATGTCAACCCGAGATTTGGGGCGTAGGGGTTGGAGAGACAGTTCCTTCTGCTCATCTCTTTCATGGAATGTCATTTCCTACCTTACCAATTTGTAAACTCTCATTTATCCTTTAGGGCCCAGATCAAGGATGATTTCTTCTTCTGGCCAACTCTCTTCATAGAAATAAGTATTATCTTATTTGTTTTCCATAGCATTTTATGCATGCTATTATGTAACATAGGTGCCCTGGTGACATAGTGGTTG